TCTCATGGAGCTGGGGTTGCAGAGAGAGGATGGGAGGAAAGGACAGTTGTCAGGGGCCAGGAGCTGATGGGAATGGGACTTGTTTCATAGCAAGGAAGGAACTGAGTTAAAGGCATCTGTCCAGGTGTTTAGGTATTTCAGTGGAGTTGGATGGGAAGCTATATCTAAGTTTTCACGTGAGTTAGATGCCAGGGCCACGGTCTAGTAATTTCGGTGAGAAGAACTGAGGCATATATCCAGGTTTCAGGTATGCAAATGAGGCTGGATTGGAGCACATATCTAGGAGTTCAGATATTCAAGTGAAGTTGAGTTGGAAGACACCTGTCCAGGTGTTTAGCTATTCAGGTGGGGCTGGTATGAGGGGAGTGTCATCTGTCTAGGTATGTTGGCATTCAGGTGGGCTTGGTTGGAGACAACTACCCAGCTACTTATTGGGTCTGGATTAGGGGCTTTTGTTCAGGTGTTCAGGTATTAAAGCGGGGCTGGCGAAGATGTTGAAGTGGAGGGGATACCTGTTCAGGTCTTTACCTAGCCAAGTGGGATGCATTGGGGGCACCTCTGTAGGGTGTGTGATTGGAAAGGGTTGGGGAACACTTATTTGGGTGTCTGGGGAATAATCTGTCTAGATATTTATGTGTTTAGGGTGTTGGTTAGGGCAGCTGTCGATGTTTTCAGGTATTTAAGTGGGTGAAGTAGAGGGTGCTTGGCCAGATATTCCAGTGGGCTAATTTGGGACATTTCTGTAGATGTGAAATGATTATGATGGGCTGGATTTTGCAGCACCAGGTGTTCAGGTATGCAGGAGGCGGGTTGAGGCAATCACTTGTCCAGGTGTTAAAATATTCAGAAGAACAGGGTAGGGAGCACCTGTTACAAATTACAGTAAGTTGGGGATGGGAACACGTGCCCAGGTGAGAGAGCTGAGCTGAGGGCTTGCATCCTGCCAGCAGGCTCTGTTCTGGGGAGCATCTGTTGAGCTATCCAGGTGCTCTTGGAGACTGGGTATTGGGCACCCATCTTGGGTTCTGTTGCAACTGCCCAGTTGTCCAATATTGGGGGCTGATTTTGAGGGGACACTGTCTGGAGGGGGGTGGGAGTTTGGGGCACCTGTCTCCAGGTAGGGGAGCAGTTGACAGGTTGTGATAGGGGCGTCACCGGTCGGGCTGCAGCCGGTTACCTGCCCCATGGAGGTCGACGTGAACTGGAAGCTTCCCAGCATCATGCGCAGCAGTGACAGGAACTCTTTGTCCTCGTACTCAAAGCGGTCCCCAAAGACAATGGAGCTGATGACATTACAGACGGTGCGGCTCAGGAAGAAGGTGGGATCGATATTGGCGCCTGCAGATGTGGCCGGAGAAGAGGGTTGGGGAGAGACTTAACTCAGAGGCCTGGGGAGAGTCAGAATTCCGGGAGGCAGGGCCCTGTTGAGCCAAATTCCCAGCGCCAGACTCCAGGGCTGGAAGTGCGGGGGCCTTTCCCCACCGAGTCCCCATCCTCAGGCAGAACGCGCGCGCGCGGGTCCCTAGCCCTGGGCGTTTTCCTGCTCTTGCCCACGCACTCGGGGTCCCCTGCTCACCATGCGTGCCCCGGAGGGCCTCGATGAGGAAACCCGCCTCCTCCTGGATGCGCTCCTCGATGCCGCGCTTGCCCACCCCGAAGTCCCGCAAGGTGGCGATGGAGAAGCGCCGGAGCTGCTTGGCGCGCTCCCCGTTGCTGAACGCCACGCCTGAGGAGATGAACGTTGGGGTGGAGAGAGGTCAGGGGGCGGCGGGGGCAGGAGCAGACCAGTCCCAGCGGGCTCCCCAAGGGTGGAGCAGAGAGGGAGTGGGTTGGGAGTGGGGTGGGAGAGAGATGGATTCGGAGAGAGATGGATTCAGCGAGAGTGCCCAGGAGAGCTGCAAACTCAGAGAGAGAGAGAGAGAAAGAAAGAGAGAGAGAGAGAGAGAGAGAGAGAGAGACCGGGTAGAAAGAAAAGAGAATGAGAAGCAGAAAGTTGAGACAGACAGATGCCCAGAGAAACAGAGGATTAGGGGGACACTCCATGGAGGAAGGGAAGGAAGTGGGGAGAGAAAGAGAAAGAGAGATGGAGGAAGAGGATGGAGGGAGGGGAAGTGAGATATGGGGAGATCTGGGAGGAGGAAATAAAAATGGTGAAAGATTCTTAAGCTGAGCTGAAGAAGAGAGAAAAATACGGAGACAGAAACAGAGAGGGTTTGGAAGGAAGAGAGACTGTTACCAGGAGATGGAGGCTGGAGATGTGGAAGTCGGAATACCATGAAATCCTAAGACAGAGGAAGAAGTGGGAGAGGGAAGCGGAGAGAGGAGAAACACCGAGAAGCACAGAAGCTGAGAGTGACAAAAAGACAAATGAAGACAGAGGACCAGGGTTGGAAAACAGAAACCCAAGATGTCCTCAGAGATGTAGAGAGAGGGAAAAGAGGAGATTCCAGTGAGAGAGAAGGAGGAGAGAGAATAAGGGGCAGAGAGAGGCAGGGAGGAATCAGGACAGGGACGCTGGAGACAGCTGAGGGATACACATGGAGAGGCCACAATGAAGGGAGATGGAGAGATAAAACCAGACCAGGGTCTCTGCCATAGCCTCCAGTGGGTAGGAGAGTCAGGGAGAAGGCTGGGGACACTGAGACTATTGTGTTCTCTTGGCCACCTTCCCCCTCTTGGGCACCCCCTCACCATAGCCTTTGAAGACCCAGTTGAAGGTGGCCTGCTCGCCTCGCCCGCTGAACTCCTCAGCCTGGTCCACCAGAGCCTCCCTGACGGCATCATGTCCGCACAGCACCACGACCCGCCGGGGCCCCAGGTGAATGGTGAACACGGGGCCATAGCGCTCACTGATCTGATGGAGGCGGGTGGGAGAGGTTAGAGGGAGCAGCCCCCACTCTGAATGGGCCCAGCACAGAGATGTCAAGTACTGGGATCCTTCGTCCCCAAGTTCTCACAGTCAGGGAGCTGGACATCCCAAGATCCTGTCTTTCCTGGCTAGGACCCTGATGATGAATCTCCAAAACTCCCTTTCCTGAGACTCTGGTCCACAGTGGTCAATCCCCTGCCACAAAGCCCCAGCCAGCTGGGCAGCCCCCACCCTGTGCCACCCATCTCCCTGCCTTGGGACACCTTCATGATGGAGTTGTACATCTGCTCTGTGTTCAGCTGCAGGTAGTTTCCAATGAAGGGCAATGGGGTGGGTCCCGGAGGCAGCTTTCCCTTGCTGTTCCTCTGCTGCCAGACAGACATCAAGACCATCACAGTCAGGCAGGCCAGCAAGGCCACCAGGAGCAGCCCTGAGGCCAGCATGGTGGCAGTGGGATGATAGATGGTGACGGCTGGGGTGGTTTGCCTTTATATTGCCTGAAAAAGAGGGGTGGACTTTGGCTGATTACACAATCACCTCATTTCACCTCCCCGCTACACCCCCCCACCATGAATCCCGCCTAGCTTGGGACACAGTCAGCAAGGGAGGAGGAGGGGGACCCCAGGGCAATTGAACAGAGAGGGGGCCTCCAGACTAAGTCTGTGGTACTTCAGGAGGGGTGCCCTAGGGCTGTGGATTAAGGAAGGGGCAACGGATAAACTGTAGAACGGAGGAGTTTGGAATATTTGCACAGGGGAGCACCTGGACTTTGGATTTTTGGTCTGAGAGTGAGAATGTACCCCAAAGTTGTGGATTTGGGGGTTCCAGGGAGAGGAATCCAAAGGTCTGGGTTTTATTAATGTGAGACGGAAGTTGGCTATGCATTTGGGGGTCTTCTGGTGAGGAGGATGCAGTGTTAAAGGTCTCAGGAGGGGGGATTCCAGGCATATGGACTTGAGAGTCTTGGGGCTAGGAAGACCAGGGTGTGGGTGTGGAGTTTCTGGGAGGAGGAGTGTGTAGCAAGCCCAGCAGCTCCTCCCAGAAAGCCCACAGCTCACCACTGGGCCCGGGTACTGACTTGATTTTGTTGTGGCTCAGAGCTGTCTCTTGATGCCCAGAATCCTCATTGGAACTTCAGAGTGAGGCCAGGATGGGTGCCATAGAACCTCCACTGCACATCTCTGGTTGGGAAAGGGGTGGAAGACCAGAGCCATATTTCAGGGGAACTTTCCCCACACCTGGAGGAGAGTGCCTCGAGTTATCAGTTGGCAGAGGGATTGGCCAGGTCTGGAGAAATAGTAAGAACAACCCCGAAATGGTGGAAAAAACTCAAGTGTCCCAAGGGTTGTAATTTACAAAGACCTCCACTGGTTTCCAACAAGATCCTTAGGGAAACGCACTAGATTGATTGTATCATCCTCATTAATATTATTATTGTTATTTATGTTTCTCATTTTATATAAGGGTCTATGGAGGACAGAAAACAGACCGTGGGCAGGGGACATGCGTGAGTGGCCCTGAACTCCCATCTCTCCTCCTCTGCGTCCTTAGTTCCACTTTGTGGATTTGGTTTTCCCGCCAGTGGAAAGGGAGTGTTTAGGAAGAGAGGATCATATTTGAGGGTGAGTTAAGTCTCCTTTAAGGGTGATTCCTGCTTTGTCAGGGGCTACTACTATTAGCAGGCAGAGGGAACAATCGCAGAAGAGATTGGGGTAAACTCCAGTATTAGGCACAGAGACAGAGCCTGGGGTGGGTGGGAGTGGAGAAGGGATGAGTAGCCTCCTGTCCTTCCCTCAGGGAAATTCTTCCTTAGTAAACAGGACAGTTACCCTCTGGTGAGCACGGTTGTATATGGGAAGATTAAGTCTAGGTGTGTATTATCTGGTGGAATCTTTGTAACAATGAGGTTGGTTCATCATCATCCTCATTTTGAAGATGAGCAGATCTGGACTCCATAAATCCTCTTGAGTGACGTCACACAGGGAGTAAGTGAGGGAGCTGGGATATGAACTCTCTCCTCGTTCCCCTTCAGTGACTGGCCTAGATCACCCTGGGAGTCAAGTGTGGGCCAGGCTTAGCAGGAGGTGAGTGCCGAGATTGATATCAGCAGTGGACACAAGGATGACACTGGCGGGTTGTGATATCAGCCTCAGGTACGACCCGGGAGGGGAGGCATCGTGTTGGCTTTGGGACTGCCCCCAGGTGTACGCGAGGATGGGAAACAAGTTGGCACTGAACTTGACAGCAGGAGAATATTAAAGTCATGTTTGGTGCCAAGAGGGCTCTTTGTGTTGTCTCAAGTGTCATTGAGGGCATAAGAGTGTCCTGCTTCAGGAGGGCATAAGAATGGCACCATATAGGGTCTGAGGTTGGTTCCAGTGGGCTCTGACGTGAGCATGAGGCAGGTGCTGAGATTGGTCCTATGTGGGCCTGAGATGAGCCTCAGCGAGACCCTGAGAGGGTCCTCAGATGGCCACAGGACAGGCTCTGATGTTTGGACCCTCCAGGGTTGCACCTGTCCTCTGGGTCACCAATTTTGGACAAATGGAGATGGATGAGGTTGGCACCCCAGGACTGACATCTTGTTCCAAGTGTTCTGGGATGCTGAGCCCTGAGACCTGTGTGGAGGGGGCAAAGTTCAGAGAACAAAGCGGAGAGAGGAAAGTTGTTTGTTGATTTTGGAGGGGAAGAGGTGGGAAGGAGGATTAACACCAGCTGGGCAGACATCAATCCCTCTAATCCTGGTCACCAGCCTGCACCTGGGCTTGCCCCAAGCCTGGGTCTTTCCTTTTTCTTCTTGTTTCTTAGAAAGGTGGGAGATAGAAATCTGTGGAGTTGGTTTCTCAGTGAGGTTGGCACAGGGAAGGGCACTGAGTGGTCAGCAGGCTGCCATGACCTGGCCAGGGAGGGGTGGGGAGAGACAGGCTGGGAGAACTCCAGTATTTGTGCACATAGAGGTCAATCGATGTTGGACTTGTTGATTACCCTGGAGCGTGGAGTGAGAGAATGGTGTCTGAAATCGTGTGGGAGGGACTTGTCCCAGTGGGCAGTGTCTTGGGTACAGGCTTTCAGAGTGAGTTAGTGACGAACCCAGGAAGATCCCTTTTCTTTGCTGGGCCTCAGTTTCCCTTTCTGGACGGATGGTACAATGATTAAGGCCTGGATTGGAATCCTAACCTTATCCCTTCTTTTGGCTTTGAATAGTTGACTTTATCTCTGTGAGCCTTATGGAGCCAAGAACAGCTCCTACCTCTTTGGCTATTTAGGGGAGAAGTGTATGTGTTAATGCAGATGAGGTACATGGCAGTAAGTGCTCAACGAATAGTAGTTGTTCTCTTTAATCTGTAGGATGAAATGGATGGATGAGATGTTCCCTAAGCACCTTCCCTGCTTTTACATTCTCTAGTCTAAAGCTCCCAAATCTTTTCCTTTGGGAAAGAGGAAAGGGACAGAGTCTTTGGGAACCTCTTTCCCCATCCCTTCCTCAGCACAGCCAAGATTTACCCCATGGAGCTGTGAATAGGAAATTAACCCTTCATGGCCTCCTGGAGCGTGGTGCTGAGTTCGGCAGTGTCTGCAGAAGGACAGGCCAGCATTAGACTCTCAGGTTATTCTGGTTGGCCCTGGAGCCCTGCACAGGACTTTGCCCACCTGTCTGTCTACCCGTGTCTTGGATCCCATCTTTCTATCTTTCTCTTTCTCCTTCCCTGCAAGTCAGTGTTCCCCTCAATCACCCTGAGTGCTCCTGCATCTTTATATTTTATGCCATTTTGTCCATTGGGTTCTCCTGGATGCCTCTGCCATGTTTATCGTCACTTATACAACTGTCTGTGTGTCATCCTGGGTGCATGCTTGTAGTGTCTATGTGCATGTATGTTTCAGTATGTCCATGTTGATACATGAATTTATGTATGCACCAGGCTTTGTGGGGTGTATGTTAGTGTTTGATAATGGGTATCCATTCCAACTTATGTCTACACATGCACATGTGTGTGTGTGCCTGATGGGGTGTGCCACTGTTTCTCAATGTTTGCCAACTTTTGTGTGTCTCTGCATACAGCATGTGTGCACACATGATTTAGGAGTGTCTACGATGTGCATTTCTCTGTGAAACAAGATGTATGCTGCATATTCATATTTGTGTGTACGCATTCACAACTGGGTGACTACATGTAAGTATGTGGATGTTTTCATGTGTGCATTCAGGTGTCTGTATGCAGGCTTGTGGGCCATGTTGCATACATGTGAACAGCTGATATTTTTCTGTGCTCGTCTGTGTTTGGATTAAAACAGTCCTAGCCCAGCTCCATGTGTCTGCTTGAAAAAAACTCCAGAACTGCAGGAAGCTTTTTATGAGTATTATCTTAATTAAACTCCTCATCACAAGACTGTGAGGTTGGTTTTATCATCTCCATTTTGCAAATGAGTTAGGCAAGGACCCAAAAGTTGGTCGTAAGTGACTTGGTTCTGCATTCCACAGCTAATGAGGGTAGAGTCTTAGTATGGTCTTGTGTGACCGTAAATTTTTTTTTTTTTTAGTTGGAGTTTTGCTCTTTTGCTCTTGTTGCCCAGGCTGCAGTGCAATGGCGCGACCTTGGCTCACTGCAACCTCTGCCTCCTGGGTTCAAGTGATTCTCCAGCCCCAGCCTCCCGAGTAGCTGGGATTACCGCCACCACGCACCGCTAATTTTTGTGTTTTTAGTAGACACGGGGTTTCACCATGTTTGTCAGGCTGGTTTCACACTCCTGACCTCAGGTGATCCGCCCACCTCGGCCTCCCAAAGTGCTGGGATTACAGGCGTGAGCTACCACGCCTGGCTGTGAATGTAAATTTCGTGCTGTTAACCACCACTTTGAACTGCCAGGTCCCGCTTGTTTTTCTTTATGAAACATTAGAAAAACTGCTTGTAATCTTTTGTGTTTCTTCAAATACTTCTGTGTAAACATGTAACAAAAGATTTCAAAATGTTAGAAAAAAAAGTCTTTTAATAGGAGGGAGACTTGACCTTCTATAGTGTTTGCACTCGTTGGAACCTTAACCAAAGACGTAGCTGGCCAGTGTACCCCTCAGGCCATTGGCAATGAAGCAGTGGGGGAGTTGGGGTACCAGTGGTTGTGGTCAGAGAATGAAATGTCTGTGTTTCACATTTCAGAGTGATGACAAGGATTGGGGGTGGCTGTGGGAATGTTGGCTGAAATAGAATGAAGAAGGTCAAAGAAGAGAAGACAGTCAAGATTCTTTTTTTCTGAGTGTTTGGATAACTCAC